GATGACTGAATAAAATGTTTAAATGAAAAAAATCTTTATTTTCGATAAAAATTGTTTTTAAATTTTTTTTTTTTTTTGAAGCGTCAAACGATTAAAGTAGTGGTAACAAGTAACTTTTATTCTCTGAATAAAAAAGTAGCAAGAATTGTAATTAGTTTTTTAGAAAAATACCTCAGTGTTAGTAATAAGGTCATCAAAAATAACAGATAACTTGTAAAAAAGTGGCACAAGGTTTTAAAACATGTGGTGGCAGCCATAAGTCCAAGAAAGAGAGTTATTAGGCCACACATTTTGAAGCTAAGACAAAAACTAACATCATTTCAGATCTTCACCATTTTCGTGTTGTCAAATGGTGTGTATATAATGGTATTATAATATATTAGAGTATGTATATTTTAATCCTTATGTATTTGCATACATACGGATTAACAACACTTACAAGCATACATGTTGATTAGTTATATTAAACTGGTAAACAAACATACACATGGTTAAATGTATGTTTAACAACGAATTTTTTTGAATGAATGTTACCTACATTTAACCATGTGTATGTTTAATAACAAAAGCTTAACAAATGAATGTTACCTTTAACTCTCCTCAATTTACCCCAATGAAAGTTACATTCTTCCTTTGTGATATATTTTCCTTTGGCATTCATAAAATAATCTTTTCCACATCGACAACATTGCCTTTTTAAAGCTTCAAAAAAAAAAGTTAGTATTCAACAAAAATGCTTTAACTTTCAAGTCTCTCTCTCTCTTTCCTCTCTCTCTCTCTCTCTCTCTCTCTCTCTCTCTCTCTCTCTCTCTCTCTCTCTCTCTCTCTCTCTCTCTCTCTCTCTCTCTCTCCTCTCTCTCTCTCTCTCTCTCTCTATATATATATATATATATATATATATATATATATATATATATATATATATATATATATATATATATATATATATATAAATATATACACAGTATGCAAAAAAAATAATCGTACACTTAAAAAAAATTCATAATTTTAAAGATTGCATTAAAAAAATGAGTTGTCTGATAAAATATTCAGATAAAAAATGAGTTGTCCGATAAATTTTTTTCAGATATCTTATCAAGTGTTGTCTGAAAAATTTATTTGTTTATTGGTAAATTAATTGCTTTTTAAACCTATTGAATTTTACACAATTGATCTATTGATGCATAAAATTGTCTGCAAAAAAAATAATCGTCCAGTTCAAAAATAATGTCAAATTGATCAATTTCCATAGATATTAGTATCAAGTGGGGCCTCCTTTAGCCTTGATGGCCTCAACTAGACAATTTGACATTGAGTTTACCAAATTTTGGATCTCTTCTTTTGTTATACTATCCCATGCGCACATTATAGCTTCTTAAAAATTGTCTTTGCGTCTAAATGCTCGGTCGCCAATTTTTCTATCCAAAATATACCACAAATTTTCTATTTGATTCAAGTCCAGACTTTGAGATGGCCATTCCAAAATATTGATGTTATCTAGCTCAAAGTATACCTTCATTTTCTTAGCGGTATGATTAGGAATGTTATCCTATTGGAGTATGAAATCGCTTCCCATTCTCAATTTTTAAGTATATGGTGGTAAGTTGGCTTGGAGAATTTCACAATACATTAAAGCATCCATTTAGTCATTAATAAATGTGAATTTCCCCGCTCCTTTTCAACTCATACTACCCCAAACCATCACATTTCCTCCTCCATGCAATACACTACTTTGCAAACAACTCAATTTATAAGCTTCTCTTTTATTTCGCCACACCTTTTGGACTCCATCCGATGAGATGAGATTGTATTTTGACTTATTTTAATACAAAATTTTATTCCAATATGATATCAGCATTTTTGAGTACTTTATTGCAAATTCTAGTCGATATTTCATTTGTTTAGAAGTTAAAAAAAGTTTATTTCGAACCACTCTATATCTCTATATCCTTGTTCTCCTTGTTTTGTGTTTTTGTTCTCTAAAATCCACACTAACAACGGTTCCAATCATATAATGCTTCTTAACTAAAAGAAAAAAATAAAGTTATGCTTCGACACAAATATCATCAATGTTTTAGAATGAACATCTCAAAGTCCGCACTTGAATCCAATAGAAAATTGGTGTTATTTTTTGGACAGAAATATTGGCAAACAAGCATTTAAACGCAAAGACAACTTGAAAGAAGCTATAATGAGGGCATGGGATAATATAACAGGAGAAGAGACCCAAAATTTGGCCAACTCAATGTCAAACCATCTAAATAAGGCCATTAAGGCTAAAGGAGGCCCCACTCGATACTAATTTACAAGGAGTTTGATCAATTTGACATTTTTGAAAAATATGATTTTTTTTTGCAGTCAATTTCATGCATCATTAGATCAATTGAGTAAAATTCAATAGGTTTGAAAAGCAATTAGTTCACCAATACACAAATTAGTTCTTAAAACAATACTTGATATCTAAAAAAAACTTTTAAAAAATTTAACAGACAACTCATTTTTTTGATGCAATCTTTAAAATTATGATTTTTTTTTATAAATATATGTATGTATACGTATGTGTATATATATATATATATATATATATATATATATATATATATATATATATATATATATATATATATATATATATACACACTTACTAAAGGGTATTTTTATAAGCATTTGCTCACTTTTTTTTAAAAAAAAACGAAGAATGATAAATGAAACGACTGCTGCTCCATCCCAAACCCTCAGTCGATGTAGCAGCACTCCACTGCAAGTCAGGTTATTTGTCAGTTGATGTATGTACTGAAGCCCCCAGCAGCAGACTATTTCAGTATGACATCAGATTGCTTACCTTAGTACGCAATACTATTTGTATATATTTATATATATATATATATATATATATATATATATATATATATATATATATATATATATATATATATATATATACATATATATATATATATATATATATATATATATATATATATATATATATATATATATATATATATATATATATATATATATATATTCTTAGAATGTAGAAAAATGATTTTAGATAAAAATTAATATTAGCCTTTTAGATGTATCCTGATTCTTTTAATGATCCTTTTAGGTGTATCATGATTCATTAAGAAAAAATTTATTAAAAATAAGTTCATTTAATGATATGCAGATTAAGGTTATGACTTTTTATCCCCATGCTCTTGTACTGTAGTTTAATGAACTTTTAGCTAAAAAATAGGAAATGAACTATTATTTGCATATCTTTTCAAAAAAGTTCACCCCGCCCTTGAAAAATCGATTTTGACATTAGTACTACTATGTATTTAAATGTATTTAGAATGCCATAGTCATGTAATACAATAAACTTTCAATCTAACAATGACTCAGGCCGTTGACCTTGCTCTTGCTTATTGCACAGAAGGACTCGAAGGTACAATTTGTCTTCATTTTTGCATGATGAATAAATTTTTTCCATTACTTTGATTGTGCACTTGCGCATTGATTACTTCTGAGTGTCTGTAGTATGGACGGCTCTCTTTTTCAGTAATTTTTCAAAAAGCTTAAAGCCTTTTTTGCATGGATTCAGTATTTCAGGCAAGTTATTAATGTTGTTTTTGTTGGTCTGTAAACCAATGGTCTGCGCACGATATAAATCGACATACTCTGCAGAACTGTCCTTGTTGAAGGAATTAAAATGAAGGCAAGGATTGCTAATATAGGTCTGGAGTTCCACCTTGCATTGCTGAGGTGGAACTCCAGAGGGTATTTTCTGAAAACCTGATCAATGGAAAATATCCCGTTTCCTCAAAAAATTGGAACACTCGAGTGAGATGAAACAAAAATTTCATATCATCTCTCCAGTCTGATGTTTCGAGAATTACTTCTGTTCCATTATAAAACTGTGTTTTCAGTTGTTCGTACTCCTTCAACAGTTGAGATACAAATGGATATTTGATGTTTGGCGATTGTGTTTTACTTCCAAGTTCTTCATCCATCACCAAACGGAGGATTCTATCTAATACATGGTGTTGACAACTGATAAACTGAGGTTTGTTGATGCGTTTCTCTGTGAACATTCGTTGCAATATTACAACCATTCTTTTTTCCAGTGTTAACGCTTGTGGTATCTGCAACAATCATCTGTTTTGAATTCTATAGGTAAAATTCATGGAGGACTTTAGAAATTCCTTGAGCAATAGTTAAAGCCTGCCGTCTACCAAGCCAAGGACATCCAACTTGATTTCTCTTCTTTCATTTTTAAGGACAACCACTTGATAATCCATTGTCGATGTGCTTGCCATCAAAGTGTAAAGACCAACTTTCCATGTGCAATTTTTCAATCATTTCTTCCTTCAGCTTGATTGCCTCTTTGATTGTTTACTTGTAAATAGCTGATTGACATGGAGTAAGGATGTTCAATGCCTTCACAAGCCAATTGCTTGCATATGTTAGCAGCTTTGTTTGCTGATACTCTTGTGGAGGTCACCAAGTTGACTTCAATTTTGCTTTTATTATATTCTTCTTTATTGTTTTCATATTCACTGTCGTCAGCCTCAATCAGAATCACTAAAACCAGGATAGTAAGATGATGAGTTGGATGACTCATTAGAAAGTTTTTGTCTTTTAGAGGGATGGATCGTTTCTTTACTGGCCGCTTGGCCTGTAGAGTATCCCACTGTTTCTTTGCTTTCCACTTGGAGATGGTACAATCATTTGTCCATGGAAGATAATCATGTTCCATCCACTTTAGTAATATCAAAAATTTCATCAAGGAGTTCGTAGCTTACCCACCTGAAACATTCAACATAACATTTCAGTATGTTATCAAGCTTTGCTCGTATAACTTGATCAGATACATGAGGAAAATTCAGTTTATTCTTCCACAATACGTGACTTCTTAGATATTTTTGCTATTCGGAACTTTCTTTTTTTGATTTTTGGTCCAAGGAAATGGTAGCGTTCAATAATTTGCTTTTGGAGAGACATTTTGCACCTTTTTTCCAGTGTATATTTTTCTAAAGGGACCATTCTTCTTTTATGAGAGTCTTCAAATTTTACCAAATTATTGGTCCAGACATCTTCGTTCTTCTGAATGCTACTATTGCTAGGCTTATACGACACTATATGTTGCTTCCTTCTGTCATAACTATAAAATTAGATGAGCAGCTATATATAGTCTAAAATGTTCTAGAATATTCCAGAATGTTCTAAATTGTTCCAGAATGTTCCAAAATATTTTAAACTGTTCTAGAATGTTCTGAAGTCTTCTAAAATATTCTTTTATTTTCCAAAATGTTCTAAAGTTCTAAACACTTCTTATCTACACAAGTTTTAAATGATTTGCAGGAAAGCCACATGCATTATTAGCAGCAGTAACAAGATTTAATAAATGATAAAACATAATTTGAATTGCGAGGTGGCCTTTTTTTACAACCAAGAAGAATTTAACATGTTAGCAATGTTTTCTAATAAAAGTTCATCAATTTATGACACAGGAAATTATTTTTTTTTTTAAAAGTCAAAAAGTCATAACCCTAATGCAGATAATCAAAACCTGATATTTAGTGAAAGAAAATTTATAATATTTGGTGCACAAAACTTATTTTATCAGGCTTACAATAAGGTTGGGATGAATTGATAATTAACAAACTTATTATTGCAATTCATAGAGACCGTTACTTTTAAAAATCTGAATGCTTTTTTGTTTGCTTAATTTGCTGACTGCTTTAGTTCTTAAAAATAACTAAACTGTCATTTTATCAGCTTATTTCTTAATTTGGAATAAATCTTAGATAAAATAAATGGAAAAAAGAGAAAACGGAATTTTTTGAAGGAAAAAGATATTTCAAAAACAAAAAAATATTGTGAAAAATAGTTTTACGATAATGTATCAATTTTCTTCAAGTCTTGTTTGGTGGCATGTTTAGACATCTTGTGTCAGTTATTTAAAAACACTGCCATTGTGTTTTGGAGTCGGTCTTCAAAATGTGTCCTTCCTTTGAAATCCTGCATTTTTGATGAGTCATTCAGTCCTATCATTAACAACTGGTAATTGATGCTCACTGGACACAAATTTCTTAAAGGGATACCAAAGTGTCGAGACAAGTTGTGTTCATATTAAAAAGAATGATTTAAAAAAGTGTTTGGGCAGAATTTTTTTAAGCAAAACAAAATAATACAGATAAAAAATTAACAATATGAATAAAATATTTCAGATATCCTGGAGAAAAAAAAAAAAAATTAACAAGAAAAATATTTTTTCCTGGAGAAAAGTCAATGTATTATAATCTGCGATGATATCTTAAATGGTTTAAAATAATTATGCGGTAGTGGTATAGTGTCAGAATGCTTGCTTTATAAGCGCAAGATTCCAAGTTCGATTCCCACCACGCCCCTGGTAGTACCCCGCTTAACTTGTTTCTTCGCGCAGCAGCTTTGTTTGTTAAGGTTCATGGTTCGAAGTTATAGAGTTGAGAGAGGGTTATAACCAGAAGTAGCCTCTTTATCTGAAGTGGCCTTCTTGGCATTGGGGAGGTGAATTACAAATTTAAAAAAAAAAAAAAATTAACTGGAGCATTAACTGCCAAAGGGTTACTCAGGAGGAAAAACAGTGGAAGATCTATATAATCTGTTTTATCCTGAACAGTCAACTGAGCTGCTTGTTCTAATTTCTGGACATTGGATTGCTAACAAATACAATTAGTCATCTATAAACCTTACTTCATGGTGTACATCAGGTTGTAGAAACCTGAAGTTTAGTAAATCTGCTCCAAGATAAAAAGCAATATTTGTTTTAAAAGACGTTTTGTAGAGCTTCCTTGTTTCTGTTGAAAGATTGTAAAAGAATGTTCCAGGAGGTCTGTTCCAATCCAATTTTTCAATGCTATCTCTTTACAAGATTTTTAATCTTAGATTTGATCTTGATATTTTAAAAATTCATCAAAATTACAATATTTAAGCAACCACTCTGTCAGAATGCATTGGACAATTAATTTAATTTGATTATATTACAAAAATATTGAATATTAGCCTATATTCTTACAAAATATTTAAAAGTTTCAAACATAAAATGTAAAAATATCCCGCAATCTCTTCACAATTTATAAAATATTTTTTATTAAAACACCTTCTTCAGCAAAACAATGTTTTAGAGGTCATATATTTTTCTGGTGTTGATTGGGATAATTAGAACTGCCATAGAGCAAATAGTCGTTTTCAGAAAAAAAAAACTTTCCTTAATGTGGCACCACTAAATCAAGGAAAAGTACATATATGTATATATATATACTAGGGTGGTTCTTAGAACAACTTTTTTGAGAAAAACCTGCTCTGACCCCTTTAATTTGTTCTATACAATATTAAAACACTAGGTTTAAAATTTTTTTGAAAAAAAAATTTTTTTTGGGGTAGCTCAGGACCCTTTAAAATTTGACGAGTCCCTAATATATTGGAAAAAAAGTTTTTCTAAAGTATATCAACCTGGTACTCAAAATAAGC